ATCCATGTTTCCATCTGCAATTGGTTTATAGCCATTTGATGAGCCAAGCAATAGGTGGTTGGGTGTAATGGCTTCATCGTCACCACATTCAATTGAAACAAACGTGAGTGGTCGACTATTGATCGTAAACTCTACCTCACATAGCGCACATTTTAAACTTTCATCGCTAAATTTCATTGTTGGGCAAATGCTATATAGAACACTCTTAATTGACTTGACTAACCTTTCCTAAGCTCCGCCCATGTGGGAAGCTGCTGGAGGGTTGAATTTCCATTTAATTTGTTCGAATTTTTTCTGGATTATGGACGAATTAACATTCTTTAGTTGACAACACAATATCTTTTCAGCGGCTTTAAAATTGGTGCCGTTATCTGAATACACTGAACTTCTGTCTAGACTGTGTGACACCTCGATGTGTATGGCACGTACTGTTAGGCAGGTGAAAATTACACCCCATCTTTTTTCATGTCTTCTGCCAACTGCAATGTTTAACGGGCCGAAATAATCCACGCCTACATAGGTAAATGGGCGTTCGAACGCAGCGAGTCTTGCTATTGGCAGCGCAGCTATTTGTGGCACTAGTGGTTTGGCGTAATTGATTTTGCACCATTGACACATTCTCCGTACTTTTCTAAACAGAACACGCAGTTTTGGAATGTAGTATTCACTTCTAATTTCATTTAGCGCTGTTTCATGATTTTGATGACGAAACATTTCGTGAAAGTGACGTACTAATAAAAATGTCACGTGAAGATAAGGGGGCAACACAATAGCGTCCCCATGATTATTGAGGTACTCAGCTCTTCCCCTGCATCTAAGAATGCCAATTTTGTCTAGGTACACATTAAGGGAGATCAACTTACTTGTTTTTCCAATAAGTTTATTGCGTATCAGACTAGATATTTCGTTACTGTATTCGTCAAGCTGTGCATATCTCATTAAAAATGCTTTTGCCTTTTCGATCATGGCACAATCGACTTTTAAATTTGTGTTTATAATTTTATCTTTTGTTAATTTATTTAGCTTGTGGCAGTACAAAAAGAAAGTAGCTACAGCACGGTACAAACGCTTCCAATTAGAAAAGTATTCAATGTTGAGTTTAGTCTTATGGACGCTTTCAATTACTAATGCGCTGCGTTTCATTTCTGTTTCATTTACCATTCCGAAGTCATCGCATTGTGGCCATTCATTAACATCGGAGCGTAAAAATTTGGGACCATCAAACCACATTTGTGTATTTGATGGAGTTGGTACTTTGGTGGCAAGGTCGGCGGGATTTTGTTTTGATGGAACCCATCTCCACTGGTTGACGTTTGTGTTCTCAAGAATCTCGCCTACACGATGCATCACAAATTGCTGAAACTTTTTTGGGTCTATTTGTAACTACCTCAAAACTGTTTTTGCATCGCTCCACCAAAATTGAGAGTTAGCATTTATTCGACTTACTTCTTGTACAGTTTTTGCAAGTCTCGTGCCAAGTAGAGCAGCTTGCAGCTCGAGCTTTGGAATTGAGAGTTGTTTAAGTGGTGCCACTTTGCTCTTGGCTGCAACTAGAGAGACAGTTATAACATTGTTTTTCGTGATGCGCAGATAACATATGGCAGCATAAGCGTTTTCGCTGGCATCTACGAAAGTATGCAGTTGGACTTCGTCTGCTGTCTGCATCGTTGGAGAGTAGCATCGAGGTATTCTTATGGACGTTATTTGTTGAATTGTGGACTTCCAACTGCACCAGCGTTTGTCTAAAGTGTCCGTAAGTTCCTCATCCCATGCTATACCAGTCCGCCATATTTCTTGAATAAGTATTTTTAGGCCTATTGTGTAGCAGGACAGATCCAAGGGGATCGAATATGGACATCAGGACTTGTAGAGTTTCGCGCTTGGTCGGTGTCAATGACTGATTTAGTATATCACGGTGTAATCTTGCAAATCTGCAAATATATCTAAATTCATCATTATTTGGGTCCCAATACAAACCTAATATTTTAGTGGTTGAGCCCCAGTCTTTCATCGATTGCTCAGATGGTGCGCTTCCATGTAACTCCTTTAAGACAACTTCTGAGATAGATGTCCAATTGTGCATCTTGAAACCACCGGCTTCATGAATTTCTCTCACGTGAATCGCCAATTCCAGCTCCTGGTTGTCGTCACATTCGCTGTCGATAAAGTCGTCAACATAATGATTTTATGTTTTTATCGGCAAATACCAGGTCTTTTTATGATGCACTTCTAGTTCTTTCGGGGTGAGTTTTTTGGCATAACCTTTTAAGACGAGATTATCAATTTGTGACTGTATAGTTGCTTTTAATAAGGGGGTTTTAAAGAACTTTTTTTGCAGGCAGTTCAGGCGATTAAGGGCGTGATTATAACTGTCTGGTAAACGTATATTTTGGTTGCGCCTCAACAAACCAACTTCATAATGGCCATCGACTTTTTTACATGTTTTTTTTTATACCCTCCACCACCATCAGTGGTGATAGAGGGTATATATAACTTTGTCATTCCGTGTGTAACACCAAGAAATATTCATCTGAGACCCAACAAAGTATATATATTCTGGGTCCTTATCAAATTCTGAGTCGATTTAGCTATGTCCGTCTGTCCGTCTGTCTGTCTGCCTAAAACACGCTCACGTTAAAACGAAGCAAAGGAAGTAAACCAAATTCACCAAAAATATTCATTGTTGTCCTAAGCAGTTTGGTATTGAAAATGAACAAAATCGGTTCACACCGGGAAGAGTTATGAATCAAAATTTAAAACAACCTCGAAAAAAATAAGCATTTTTTACACATTCTGATGTAAATTTCTCGTAAACCATGCAAGATAAATTCATGAAAATCACCATACATAAGTTTCTACACAAGATCTTGATCCCTGCTAAAAATTGTTAGCATCGGTCCAAAATTTCATATACCTCCCATACAAAAGTACATATTCCCGTAAAATGGGTTTTTTGTTAATAACTTCCGCCACAATGTCGACATCTTCACAAAACTTTGCAAATTAAAGTCTTACGTCAATAGAATTCATACAGAGAAAACACTTTTTGCATTGGTCCATAATTGGACATAGCTCCCAAACAAGGTCCCCTCCCGAAAATCACTTAAACGCGCATAACTCATTACTAAATTAAGATATCCATATAAAATTTGGTATAAGTATTGCTCATATGCATAGAAATATTACTGCGAAAGTTTTTTCCGATCGGTCCATAATTGGTCATAGTTCCCATACAAGGTCCCCTCCCGAAAATCACTTAAACGCGCATAACTCATTACTAAATTAAGATATCCATTTAAAATTTGGTACAAGTATTATTCATATGCACAGAAATATTACTGTGAAATTTTTTTCCGATTGGTCCAAAATTGGTCATAGCTCCCATACAAGGTCCCCTCCCGAAAATCACTTAAACGCGCATAACTCATTACTAAATTAAGATATCCATTTAAAATTTGGTACAAGTATTATTCATATGCACAGAAATATTACTGTGAAATTTTTTTCCGATCGGTCCAAAATTGGTCATAGCTCCCATACAAGGTCCCCTCCCGAAAATCACTTAAACACGCATAACTCATTACTAAATTAAGATATCCATATAAAATTTGGTATAAGTATTGCTCATATGCATAGAAATATTACTGTGAAAGTTGTTTCCGATCGGTCCAAAATTGGTCATAGCTCCCATATAAGGTCCCCTCCCCAAAATCACTTAAACGCGCATAACTCATTACTTAAATAAGATATCCATATCAAATTTGGTACAAGTATTGTCCATATGCATAGAAATATTACTGTGAAAGTTTTTCCGATCGGTCCATAATTGGTCATAGCTCCCCTCCCGAAAATCACTTAAACGTGCATAACTCATTACTAAATTAAGATATCCATATCAAATTTGGTACAAGTATTGTCCATATCCATAGAAATATTACTGTGAAAGTTTTTCCGATCGGTCCATAATTGGTCATAGCTCCCATACAAGGTCCCCTCCCGAAAATCACTTAAACGTGCATAACTCATTACTAAATTAAGATATCCATATACAATTTGGTACAAATATTACTCATATGCACAGAAATATTACTGTGAAATTTTTTTCCGATCGGTCCATAATTGCTCATAGCTCCCATACAAGGTCCCCTCCCGAAAATCACTTAAACGCGCATAACTCATTACTTAAATAAGATATCCATACATTTAGCACAAATATTGCTCTTATATACATAAATTACACTATAAAATTGTTTTACGTTCGGCCCATATTTGGTCATAGCTCTCATACTAGGTCTCTTCCAGAAAATCACTTAAATGCTCAATATTCATTACCAAATAATGATATGGATACAGAATTTTGAAATTTTTTCTTTATATACATAATTGGTCATAGCTCCCATACAAGGTCCTTTTACGAAAATCTGTTAAACGCACATTACTCATTACCAAGTCAAGCTATTGATACAAAATTTGGCACAAATATTAGTTTTGTATACAAAAATTCTATTTCAAGATATTTTCATGATCGGTTCATAACATTGTATGGTCCCATACAAGGTTCCCTTCAGAAAATCACTTAAACACACATTACTTATTACTGAATTACGATATAGATACAAAATTTTACTGAAACATAGCTTTTATGTTCAGAAATTTTGCTTAAAGAATTTTTTACGATCAGTCTATAATTGGTCATATCTTCCATACTAGGTCCTGCCCCTGAAAGCGCTTTAACCGTATTTAACTAGTTGCATTATCAATTTGTGGAGAACAAAATTATATATATGTATTTTGAAAATCCTTAAATCTTTCACACACATGCATACATGCAAATTTCTAAATATCGCTAAGCGCTATAAAAATATAAAGAAAATGGCGTTTGTAATGTTCAATAAATCTTGGAATTGTAATATATTTAAGCTGTTTAAATCTTGAGATTTTTCTATTTAAGATATGAGTTAACTTATTTCTACAAATGTTTGATCAATTAGAAAAGTATTAATATAAAAGTATCTGGTGGAGGGTATTTAAGATTCGGTTCAGCCGAATATAGCACTCTAACTTGTTTTAATTGCCAAAGCTTTGTTGTCGTCGTAAGAAAGCAGCTGCATTTGACGAGTTGATTCTATGTTAAACGTTTCTTTTACTATATCGTGGAGCCTTTTTTGACAGTCGCAAAAATGGACATTTATAGGGAATTAATCGGTGTCCTTCATTCTACTGCCTTGCAGGGCCCAGCCCAGCCGAGTCTTAGATGCAATTGGTTGATTCCAAGAGCCTTCTCGTATTTTAAGAGGGACGGCTAATTTCCAGTTATCGGCACCAATCAGTATTGCTGGTATAGCATTGCTATACGATTGTATTGGTAGCTTCGACAAATATGGGTATCTTCTTGAAATTTCATCGGCGTCGATAGTTTGTGGCGAAAGCCCCAAATTATTTACAGTGTGAACTGCGTTCAACTTAAATTGTTTATTGTTGGTAACACTCGATATAGTAATTGTTGCCTTTACTGAGTCGTCTTCCGTACGAGTAGTGTCGCCGGTCATCTTAAACACAGGGGTTCACTCTTGCCCTGAAGACCCAATTCTTCAAAAATACTTTTTTCTATTAGTGTCACTGCAGATTCTTCATCTAGAAATGCATAAACTTTTTTAATTTTGTTTTGAGCATGTATATTTATGTGTATTATACGAAATAGTGGTTGGGACTCATCGAAATTATTGCTGTGCGCATTCAGTACTGAATTTTGTTGGTCACTTTGTGCTGCACTTGATGTGGTGTTTTGTACGTTTACATTTTTATGCAGCAACGGATTGTGCTTATATTTACATCCATCTATCCCACATTCTTTCTTTATATTGCATTTGTGTCTATGTCTTCCCAAGCATTGTCGACATAAGTTTTTAGCTTTTACACATCCCCACTTACGATTTAACGACATGCTTTTAAAAACGTCACATTGAACTACTTTGTGGCTACCGTCATTGCATACACTGTTGCCAACTTTTTCCCCAAAAATATCGCTAAAGTCGACTGAAAAATAGCTAAATTCAAGACATTTTGAAAAATTTAGCGATAAATCGTCAAAATAATATTTATTATATGATTCTGAAAAGAAATAGCTAAAAAAACTAGCTAAATTTTTCAGATTTTTTATATTAATCTAAAAAGTCAGCGATTTATCGCTAAAATCTATATACATACGTAGGAATAGGATAGTGATACAAACACATCTTATAACAAACACATAAGAGAATCTTTTTTATGTTAAATATTTTCACTTTGGGTTAGGAAAAATGTCAAGTTGAGGTTAATTTCGATATGCGACCCTATACAGATTGCTTTAGAAATGTTTTAAGATAAATTGAATTTCGAAATGCTGGCCTTTATGGATAGATCCTTTATTTTCGGCATAAGAGTATTATTTATTTTTCCATTACAATACAATTACAAATTGTATTCTAACCTAATTTACCGAGCAGGGTTGTAGTGTATCAGACCAGGATCTCTGCTGGGAATCGAACCCACAACCCCCAGACTGACAGGCTAGCACACTACCAACTAGCCTACCGGGGCACCCAAGATTATTATTATACACTCCTTTTGTGGGAAGTTTATCTGCAATATCGATATGCGGCCCTATACGCCTTAGAAATGTTGTAAATTTTTAGGACTTTATGGATCGATCCTTTCGTCACTTATTTCCAATGTTCACTAATTTTTAGAATTATGGTAAATTTTATTATCATATCACTTATTTACTAAAAGACTAGAATAATTAAATATTCGTTTTTTAATTGAGTACAACAAAATATACCCCTTTTAAAGTTTTTCGTATAACTTTACCTGTACGCACAAATATTTGCTCCTAATTATGTTCTTCAGAACATTCAAAATACACACAGCTAAAACTCAAATAACTTACATTGAATGCATATTTTTATATACATACATATATGTAAATATCGTCATTCGTAGCAACTTTTAAGCGATATTATCAAAATATATTTATATATAAAATAAAAAATGCCTTAAAATCTAAAGAAAAATCGCTAGATTTCCCGCTAATAGCTAAATAATATTTTTCCCCGCAAAATGGGATTAAAAATCGCTAGATTTGACGAGAAAATAGCTAAATTAGCAACAGTGATTGCATACAATACATGTGGTACTTACTGCGATTTTGTTAATTTCATTACCACTGGACTCTTTACTCTCCTCATCAAAATTATGAGTATTCACTGAAGCTCCATTTTTTACAAACAACGGAGTAACGTTGCTAGCGGCTTCCGCCATATAATACAACCAATCACTAAATGATTTTATAATGGGAACACGATCATATTTGTAACACATCGCCCAGGTCAATTTATGGTTGCTTGGAAGTTTGTCGACTAGCTCTTTTACTAGTAAAGGATTGTTGAGGTGGGATTGCATCTGGCAACATTCCATCGTTGCGCATATATTACGTACACACATCGCATATTCAGGATGTGTTCAGGTCTGCCAAAACACATACGTAGTGTCCGAATGATTTCAGGCACCATTTGTGGCACTAGCAGATTGTTTTTCACCATATCGCGAGCCTTACATTTGAGAGCCGATTGCAGCCTTATCAAATTTTCAGCGTCTGTGTAACCTGCCAAGGACGTACGGTTTTCAAAGCTACTAATGAACAATGGCCAATCATCTGGATCTCCGTTAAAGGTTGGCAACTGTTTTGGAATAGACTGTCTTGCTGCTAACTGTGCTGCTGTTGGTTCTATATTTGTGACTGACGTCAAAGCTGGTCCCGAACTTGATGTAATTACTTGCCTGTGTGCTGTTGATGTTTCATTTGACTCAGATAATATTTTGTTTCCACATACTGCCGTTTCATTTGCATTTCTTCTTCAAGTTTTTGAAGTTCTAAATCTCGCTGCCTTGCAATACTGTCGAAATTTTGTGCGTTTGTAGTTGAAGGTGTTTGACTTTGCATTTGCGAAAAATTGGAGTGAAAAATTATATGGTTGAGTGAATGTGTGTGTCGTTGGATGGTAACTATTCTGCCATGTCGAGGATGGCAGGTATGACATTATCGGAGCTGAGTAAATCGTGGATAACGGTGGCATAGCATATGAAACAGGTGGTGGTGGTGTGGTTGTTATAGAAGGAGAGCGTGTAACACTTTCTGCACTTCCTAAAACGTGTACTGGCTGTGCCATATCAGTTGTAGGTGTTGACGAGTGGGTAACATGAACTGCGTGAGCTATAGATGATGCCCCTCTACAATATTCGCAACTCCAGCTTTCGTTGGCCACGTTGTTGTTTACTCCAACACATCCGTAGTGATACCATTGATCACATTCCTCACATTGTCGTCACATTGAACCATCTCATCGGTGTCTTTTTCGAAACACTTTTTACAATTATTTGCATTATTATTATGAGAATCGGTCATTTTTGCGCGTTAAGTTAACAATAATTACAAATTTACAAATTTTTAACAGCGCCTAACTTCTTTTATTATTTGATAAACACTTTCCATTTAATTCAATAATTAATTCAGTTTGTTTTTATTAATTTATAAAATAAGAAGGGATGCGCTTTAAAATAATTTTGTAATGAACCGGTCTCTGTTTCTTATAAGAATGTGTCGTTTATATATTTAAACAATAAAAAGACATATTTTAATAGATTGACTACGTGACTTCAACTTATTGACCGTTATTCATTTACATACCAAAAATCATTTTGTATGTGTGGATCTACATAAGCGCATTTATATAAAAAGTAAAATAGCAAAAAATAATAATGTTAAATAAAAGGTGTTAATGTTAAATTCATAGAGTTTAATAAGGCGGTACTCAATTAGGATTATCGGCAACATAAATTGTTGAACATTTAAAAAATTTCTGTAATCTTATACTATGTTTCCACTGGCTTAAAATCTACTAGATTTGCGAAAACCTCTTCAATGTGTTTCCACTGAGCTTACTCGTTTTTGATATTCGAATTTTCGAACAAATCCCGTAATTTTATTTTAATATAACGACAGTAATGTTTATTTCATTAAAATTTAAACATTAAAAATACAAAATTACAGCTGTAGGTAGGTAGGTTGATAGGAAGATGTATATTACAACAAATCCGAAGAAATACACCTAGGCCACTATCGGGCCTGTTGTGCGCTCCTTATCATGAAAAAAAAAAAGGGCACTGAATGAATTATTTTTCAGTGTTCATAAACTCAGTTCCCTGAACGTAATTCCTAAGAATCTTCCAATCAGTGTTAGTCAGGAATGCTATTTCCGGAATAATATCACTTCCAGTGGCAAAGAAAGTGCTCCAGAGTTTCACTGTCCTCTCCACATGCTCTATATTCGTCTGAATCCGCACGTCCAATTTTGCATAGATGTGCTCGTAATCCTGTGTGTCCACTCAGAATATGTACCATCATACTAACTTCAGACTTGCTCATTGTGAGGAGATTTTTCGTCTTGCTTTCATCAGGGTCACCCCATAGGATCTTCGTGGTTCTATCCACTGTTTCATTATTCCAAGAGGCCTTATGGGATTCTCTCACCCATATTTTTAGTTCAGCTTTTGTTGCGTCGAATGGTTTCGCGTTTGTCAGGTTAACTGCCTCGAGCTCCTTTCGCTTTAAAGCTATTACATTCGCCCTTTCGTTACCGACTACTCCCGAGTGGGCTGGTACCCATATGATGTGAACCTTACTTCTGAGAGAGATTTAGTTCTATCGCCTGATATCGCCCTAATTGCCTTCTGGCTATCGGTAAATATATTAAGCGCTGTGGGCGCCATATTTATTCTTATCCAATTTACACATTCCGTTATTGGTCGTACTTCTGCTTGGAAGCTTGTGTTATGATTTGGTAAACGGTGGTATATTTCTGTTTCTGGGTCTTCAATATAGAACCCCAGCCCCACTTTGTCCCCCAATTTAGAGCCATCCGTGTAACAACGGATTCCTACTGGTATTTGCTCTAATGTTCCGCTTGACCAATACATTCTATCTGGGATCAGCGTTTCAAAGTTTCCGACATATTCTGTGTCTGGTATACGATCAGGCACGTCCAATGATTGTGTATAACCTTCCAATGTGTCCAGTATACATTGATGACGTGTCCTATAACCGCTTTTGGCCAGTTCGCCTAAAGTAAAGAGCCGTTCCGCTGTAAGCGCCGCCTCATATCTTATATATGTTTCAATGGGTGGAATATCTAGCAACGTTCCCAGAGCCTTGGTTGAAGTAGTACACATGGCACCACTTATACCCAAGCAGCATGTACGCTGAACTCCCTGTAGTAGTTTGATATTGCACTTTTTGTCTAAAGCAGTCCACCAGATTATTGAAGCATAAGCTAGAATTGGTCTAATTACACTTTTATAAAGCAAATTTGTCATAGTAGGACTAAGACCCCATTTCATGCCTATAGTTCCCCTACATATCGCCCAGCACCGATGTGCCTTGCTGATCCTATCCTCTATGTGATTTCTCCATTTTAATTTCCGGTCGAGGATTACACCTAAGTACTTAACTTTGTCTGTCACTGGTATCTTCTTGCCCAGGAAGCAAGGTTCAGTATACGTAGAAATTTTTGTCTTTCTTGTGAAAAGACAGATTTCCGTTTTTGCTGGGTTAACATTGAGGCCTCTCGGTTGAGCCCAGCTCAAGGCTGTATTCAGAGCCTCCTCAGCTCTTGTACACAAGTAATTTGGATCCTTTCCCTTTAAAAGCATTACGACATCGTCTGCATAGCAGACAGGTCTAAGTCCTTTCTCGGTTAGGGTCCTTAGAAGGCCATTAATCGTGGTAACCCAGAGTAAAGGTGACAAAATGCCACCCTGTGGTATACCGCGAAATACCTTTTTCCTGATAGTTATATCGTACATCTTGCAGTTTATCCATCAGTTCCTTAGCATGTGGTTGATCCAGTTACGGAGCACCCGGTCAACATAAAACTGGTCTAGGGATTGGATAAGAGTATCAGTGTGCACGTTATTGAAAGCGCCTTCGATGTCAA